GGAATGAATGAACGAGTGCATGACTCAGTTAGGGAATGAATGAACATCAAGATGTGAGGGAATGAATTTATGTTAATTTTATTAGTGAAAAGATATAAGAGGATGAATGAATGGAACAAATAATTCATGGGTGAATAGGAGAATAAGTTGAAGAATGAGAGAGAGAGAATGAGTGAATGAATGAGTGAATGAAAGAGAGAATGAGTGAGTGAATGAGTGAGTGAATGATTGAGTGAATGAGTGGAAAAAAACCAAGTGAGTGAATGAAATAGAAGGAATGAGTAAAAAGTAAATGAGTATATGTACTATACCTGTTTGGTTACAGAAGTATCCTGCCGGACATGGGTAGCAGTCAGTGACAACGGCTGCTCCTGTGTTGTTACGGAATGTCAGGTAAGGACAGGGCTCAGTCTTGTTTCCTTCGGGACAGTAGTATCCTGCTGGGCATTCCACAGGGACGGAGGTACCTAAACAACAATAAGCACTCTGTCTGAATGTTTCAATCAATATTGGTTGAATGTTTTAAATTTGTTTAAAAATATTTTTCAGAAAATGTTATCTTAATATGTTTCAGTCAGGGAACGTCAAAATATATGCCACCTCCGACATCAGATCAGGCCACCTCCGACATCAGATCAGGCCACCTCCGACATCAGATCATATTCATGTGAGAATTTGTGAAGGATTCTTCAAGGGAACACAAACATTTCTTGAAAATAAAGTTATGATATGAGAATTGTCGTTTGTTGGTATTTACCTTCGTTACACAGGAATCCTGCTGGACATTTGTCACAGTCGGACACAGCCGCTCCCCCTGGATGGCCGCGGTAAGTGTCTTTAGGACATGGTATTGGTTCTTCGATTCCAACTGGACAGTAGTAGCCACTCGGACACAGACCGGCACACTCATCATTGGCGCTACAGGTGAAGTTTGTTACGACAGTTGGCATGTCGTCCTTGGAGCCCGATTTACAGAAATATCCTGAGGCACAGGCTTCATACAACTGGCCATTTCTAGAAAAATAATACAAAA